ATTAAAAGGATTTTGAACAGGCCAGGTAAGGCTCAAATAGGAACAACAACAGAGAAGCAAGCGGGTTCCAGTATGAGGAACATCTGGGAAGGTTTATATAACCTGCTGGCAACTGGACTCAAACACTCCCAGGCCCGGGTTTGGAGCAGCACGGCCAGAGCGGCAGAGATGGCCGAGTCACTTGGAACGGGCAGGTGGCGGGATGAGGCCTGAGAGGATGGTCTTGCTTATGAGCAGTTTGAGAGATGTTCCCCCCTTTGCTCATCCATTACCGCACTGGGTTTTATTCAGACTATAAATATTAATATGCCTTCACTAAAACCATAAAACCAAACTCAACTGCCATCAAGTTGATTCTGACTCATGAACTTTATCTAGAGATTCCTTCTCCCAGGGTGTTGGTTTGACAGTGGTCTAATAATTATTACCAAATTGACCTCGTACTGCTGAGTTAAAAATCATTTTAAAATTCTAGACTTCCCGGAACAGTGCATTTTGTTGTTGTTAGGTGCCATCGAGTCGGTTCTGACTCACAGCGACCCTAACAACAAAATGAAACAGTACCCGGTCCTCACCATCCTCACAATCCTTGCGATGCCTGAGCCCCTGGTTGCAGCCATTATGCCAGTCCATCTCACTGAGGCCTTCCTCTTTCTCACTGACCCTCTACTTCATCAAGCACGTTCTTCTCCAGGGACTGGGCCTTCCTGATAATGGGTCCAAAGCACGTGAAATGATCTCACAATCCTTTCTTCTAAGGCGTATTCGGGGTGAACTTCTTCCAAGACAGATTCGTTCATTCTTCTGGCAGTCCATGGTACATTCAGTATTCTTCGCCGACACCACAATTTCAACGCATAAATCAAATGCGGTGCTTTTAGGGTAACTTACTCATCAGTAGGAGCTCTGGTAGCATAGTGGCTAAGGCACTTCACTGCTAGCCAGAAGGCTGGTGGTTCAAACCCACCAGCCACTCCTCGGAAGGAAGGTTGGGCAATCCTACTTCCGTAGTGATACTGCCTCGGAAACCCAAGGAGGGGTCGCTATGAGTCAGGGCTGACTCGACGGCACATAACAACAACAACAACAGCAGCTCATCAGTAGGAGTCCCTGGGTGGCGCAAATGGTTAAGCACTCAGCTACTAACCGGAAGGTTGGTGGTTCACATCCGCTCCAAGGGCCTCAAGAGAAGGCCTGGCAGTTCTGCTTCCAGGTCGTCACAGCCGCTGAAACCCTATGGAGCACACTTTGACTCTGAAACACGTGGGGCTGCCATGAGTCAGAATCGGCCTGATGGCAGCTGGCTTTTTCTTTTTTTTAATTTATCAGTAACATCCTTGATTTATGATCATGGCCACCAGGATGGCCGTCTGCCTGTTCCATTTGGAAAGACTGAACATGCTGTTGCCTGTGGGGAGGAGGCAGGAGGGTCTAGGGATAACAATGGTCAGCCCAAGGTGTCATTACCACTGTTTTCCAGAAGGGTTGATGTGCGCTCTGACAAAGTCAGGGTCCCGGGGCCTCAGGCCTCGGGGGTCATGAGCAGTCCCAGTGCCTCTCCGTGGGCAGGCGGCCACCAGCCCCTCCAGATGGACTGCCTGGAGCCAGGACAGCCACTCTTCCCAGATCGTGGATTGTGCACCACCTCAGCCTGCTCTGAATGCTGACACCGTTGCCATGCATCCCTGTGACCCAGGGCTCCCACACCTGCCCACCCACTCCCCTCCTGCCTCGTGCGGGATCCAGACGCAAACCACCACCACCCTGTCCAGAGAAGGAATGTGAGCTGCTCCCCTGCCAGGCCTGGCTCCTAACCTCAATGCCTGCCATGCCCAACTGGTCCTGATGTCACCTTCACTTGACCACAGCGCCCCCTTTGGAGAAGTCCAGCCTGCAGGTTCCCTGGGTCTGTGGATTGACTCCATCACTGGTGTGGACTCTGCTCCTCCTTCCACCCTCTCTCAGACTGGCCCAGCAAGGCCACCTGGGCTCCTCACCTCACCCCTGGTTGGTGCCCCTGCCTCCGGCCCTCCGGCCACCACGCACGTCCTATGTGCTGGTAGTGCTGCCTTAAGACAGTTCAGAGGCTACGCACTGGTCCTTGCTGTCTTCTGCTGTCAGAGCCTGACCTGGCTCCCTCCTGACCCTTCCGTCCACACAGTCCTGCTCCTCCAGCCCTCCCTATCCCTTCTCTCACTCACCTTGTCCCTCAACCCCATGTGACCCCTCCCACAGTCCTCCTCACACCTGACTTACTGGGAATTTGGAAATTAACTCCCCACCTACAGACAGGTGAGGAAAAGTTACTAGAAATGAAATCTGTTGCCAATCCAGAAAACCCCTCCACGAGACTGGAAGAGGAAGAGAAGGTATAGTACTGAGTAGGCTTCAGACCAGGGTGTGATGTATCGCAGGCTGTCATTAAGGAGATTGCAGACAGAAAGCTTGTCCTTAAATAGCTAGTGCATAACAACTCCTTACAGTCATTTTTAAGATAAGACTGCTAACTCTCCACTATCTGTTTGGCACAATACCTGAAGTTAAACTAATCTCCTTCCAGGAAACAGAAAGATAGAGAGGCCACCTGAAGTTACAACCAGAGGCAGCTGCCAATCCTTTGAGGAAACCTTTTTTTTTTTTTCCCTGGTAACTTTTTATTGTGATTTGGGTGAACGTTTACAATGCACATTGGTTTTCCATTCAACAATTCAGACACATTTTGTTTTGTGATATTGACTGCAATCTTCATAATGTAACAGCATTCTTCCCACTTCCTCCTGGTCCCATTCTTCCTTTTTTCCTTCCGCTCCCTGCTTTCTGAGCTTTCTACCTGGGCCAGTGCTGCCTTTTCGATCTCCTCTGGTTCATTCTTCTAAGGGGTATGTACCTGCCTGGTGGTACTGTTCACCTTGTAGTCCTGTCTATTATTTAGCTGAAAATTGAGCCAAGAAGGTGAGTTCAATTCCAGGCTTGAAAGGTAAGGGCCATAGTCTAGAGTGTTCTACCAGTCTCTATCAGACCAGTAAACCTGATCTTTTTTATGATTTTGAGTTTTGTTCCATATTTTTCTCCTTTTCTATCCAGGAATACTACTGTGATCCCTTTCAGAGCAGTCAGCAGGGGTAGCTGGGCACCATCTAGTTCTTCTGGTCTCACATGGGCCATTAGTCCTTTGGACTAATTGTTTCCATGCATCTTTGATTTTCTTCACTCTTCTTTGCTCCAGGGAGAGACCAATAGCTGCTTCTTAGATGTTGAGGACTCCTCTTAGATTTACTGACTTTTCAAAGAGACAATTTACAATGAGTGACACGTTATGAAAAATAAATTCCAAAAGAACAGAAGGGAGGACCCTTATTCTTCGACTTGTACTTTTCCTTCTTCTGCGAGCCCCCAGCATGCACTGTACCCAGGCAACACTCAGGTAGAACTCCTTAGGAGAGCCTGTGGGACCCTCAGACCACGTGGTCAGTTGAATGCAAGGCCACAAAGGACATTCTCTTCAAGCCAGACAGCCCCTAGAGCCAAACGGAAATAGTTCCCAAAGGAAAAAGCCGAGAGTGCGACTTCGAATGCTTTCAGTCACCGGCCTGAGCAAAGTTATTCTCATTTCCTCATCAACCAAAACTATCTTGAAGATCAAATCACATGCCTGACCAGCAGACCCTGGAGCTAAAATGCCTGGCTGTGCAAAGTGAATAAACAGGTGGGAAAACAGCGGGTCTGGTCCCTGTCTGAAGGCCTGCACCCTGCACACTCCCCAGTCCAGCTCCTGGTTCTGTCAATGGGTCTGGTCCCATATTCGGGGCCTCCTCAGCCTGCGTGAGCCCCAGTCCAGCTCAGTCTGGTCCCTTGTTCAGGGGCCCAAGCCCTGTGCTGTCCCCCATCTTGCCCCTGCCTCTATCATGGGTCTGATAGCCTGTTGGGGGTGGAGGCATGCCCTGATCCCTCCTCCATCCAGCCCCTTTCTCTAACCTTGGGTCTGGTTTTCTTTGTTGGGACCTTGAAAGGCTTCAGTGTGGCAAATGGGGGGAGGGCGGGAGGAAAGGGGGGTGTAGCTCTTTGGTGATAGAACCAACAAGACTTCAGAGGGTCTGAGGAGAACTCAGCCTAGTTCCTCCCTACTCCTGGCCCTCTGTGTCCCCACCTTCCTGCCCCCTGGGGAGCCCACGCTGGCCTCCATGTGGACCCCTTGTTTGTAAAACAGGAAGAAAAGAGACACGGAGCCAAAGGAGAAGGAGTCCTTGTCGTTGGAAATACAGAAATGGAGAGCGAGCCCTTCACTGCCTTCCCAGCCCCTTGGGGGAGCTTCTCCCCTGTCGGCTTTGCTGTGCAGGTCGCCTGTGTGACTGCTTGGGCTTCCCCAGAAGTCCCCTCGTTGGGGCTGGGCATCTCCTGGCACCTGTGGGCAGATTGAAGCCAGAGGCCCCGGGTGGTACCAATGGTTAAGTGCTCAGCTACTAACCAAGAGGTTCAAATCCACTCAGAGATGCCCCAGAAGAAAGGCCTGGGATCTGCTTTTGAAAAACCGGCTGTGTGAACCCTGTGAAGCATGGGTCTGCTCTGAAACACGTGAGGGCACTGTGAGTCAGAATCGACCCAATGGCGCTGGTTCGGTTTGGGTGTGGAAGGTGGGCCAGGGCGCCTCGGGCAGCTCATGGTGACGGGAGCCCTGCCTTGGGGGTTGCTGGGTTAATGAAAGCACAGGCGCTCCATAAAATGTAAACTTTTGATAAACAAGTAACAGTTGTTGAGTGTGCGTCCAGGCTCCTTGTCCTGGCGATGGTACGGGGAGACAATTCTGGGTTTTGTGGGTCCTCCTGCACCTCGGTGACGCTGCCCACAGGACCCAGGCTGCACAGTCAACAGTCCCCTTCGTACTGGAGGGTCAGGCCCCGGCCAGGCTCCCGCTCTACCTGGCTCCGTGTCGGCCCAGTCAGGGGCATCTTCCCCGGGCCCTGCTACACGGACTGAGCTCTCTCTCCTCCCCACAGCCCGCCATGACGCCAGGCCAGGAGAGTGGTGGTCGGCAGGACCCCGAGAAGAGCCTCGCCCGCCCCCTGCAGGGGCCTCTAGCCAGGACCCGGACAGTGGAGAGACCACCAGGTAGGGAGTCATGAGGCTTCAGTGGGATGCCCTGGTGAGGGCAGAGCCCCATGGATGCAGAGAGAGATGCCTGAGGCCTGGAGGCCCTGCCGAGGATGAGGGAACATCTGGCTGGGTCTGAGGGTGGCACCGGGGGAGTAGCCCCCACATCTGGTAATCTGCAGCTGCACCAGGCCCCAAGGGGAGGGGACCTGCAGTGCGGAAACCGCAGACTTGAAGAACGTGCAAACGTGCCCAGAGGGCGAGTGTAGGAACTGCTGAGGACCTGCAATAGATGCCTCTGGGTGGGGCAGATGGGTAACAGTTAATGTGCTCAGCTGCTGACAGGAAGGTTGGAGGTTCAAGGCTACCCACAGGCACCTTGGAAGACAGGCCTAGCCATTTACTTCAAAAAATCGGCCACAGAAAACCCTACGGAGCCCAGTTCTACTCTGACCCACGTGGGGTCGCCAGGAGTCAGAATCGACGCCACGGCACCTGGTTTTCCAGGTGAGCGTGTTTGAGGGGCATGGCGGGGTGACCTGGGGGTAGCTATTCGCTTCTAGAGAAGGTGGGGTAGGGAGGAGGAAGTGAGTGCGAGGAGACCAACCTAGTAAGGTGGTTTGGCTCCGCCATCAGCCCCCAAAACACAGCCAAAGAGGGTTCTTGGTCCTCGCCTCCCAAAGGCCAGCCTGGCCCTGACGAGGCCCTGGGGTCTTAGAATCTAGGACGCCCGCCCCTTCTTTCAGATGGGAGTAGACCCCCTTGGTCCTGACCACCAAGCACGGCTGTTTCACCCCTTCCTCCTGGCCACCACTCTGAGTCACCTCAAGGGGGATGTGACTGAGTGCTGGGCTAGTGCAGGTTGAGAGTGTCTCAAGTAGTGGAACCTGGAGTCTGAAGGGAGGAATGGTGATATGGCGACTGGCCTGGCATCCCATCCCCCCCAGCTCTTATAGAAGGGGGAAGCAGTGAGCAGCTGGCCCCATGTCCCCCAGGTCACAGATGACCTTGGCAAGATGAGCAGGTCTGACCCTGGGGCCTGGGGGATCAGGTAAGACCTGGAAGAGTTGATTCCAGGCCTCAGGCCTGCAACCTCCACCCCAACAGGTATCCATCCTCAGCTGACCTTCCCACCCTTCCCCTTCCTCAGAATAAGGCTCTGCCCTTCCCACTGCCTCTCACTCCTGCCAAGAGGTGGAAACCCCACAGAAACATGAATGCCCGCTCCCTTCCAGAGGCCACAGAATTGCCTGGAAATGTCACTGGGATCAAGAAAGGGCAGGAAGAACCAGGAGAAAATCAGACTGAGCCAGCAGGAGAGAAGGGGTGCAGAGGAAGGCGGGACTGCAGGGGCCAAAGTCCAGGACCCTTCTCTTAGAAGCAGGGTTGCCCCTGCTGCCGTGGTCAGCACACAGATTGATGGGGGCGAGGGGCAGGGAGTAGAGCCTGAGTAAAGGGGTGGGAGGTCCTAGTGGCCCCAGAGCTGTGTGGGCTGAGCTGGAGGGAGTGGTCTGAGCAGGGCCTTTGGGATGGGGCAGGGCTGGACATCGCTAACCGGCATTGGAGAAGGGGGTGGGCAGAGAGCACTGGGGCCTCGGGCCAGGAACCACCTCCTGGACCTGCCCAGCCTCAGCCTTGCTGAAGGGGAGCTCTGGGATTGGCCCCCCTGGTGCTTGGGGGGTGCTGTGGTTCTGGCTACCCTCCTGAAACCAACAGAGAGAGAGAAAGAGAGCCCCCTATGGCCCCAGCGTTGGGCCCTCTCCTGGTCTATGCAGGCCAAACCAGCCCTCAGGCTGCTGGCTGCCAGGGCAACCCTTCCCAGAAACCACTGTTTTCCTGGGTGCAGGAGTCATGAAGCCTCTTGCTCTTGGAGGCATCCCCCTTGCTACACCGACTGGGCTCTCCAGTTGGACCTCCAAGCTGCTTGGGGTGCACATGCCCAAAGCCACACCCACCTTCCTGTAATGACTCAACTTGAATTTCTGGGGAGCTCCTGTGAGGAAGGGGAGGGGAGGAGGGAGGGCTCCTGTCCCCTCTCCCTCTCTGCTCCCCACCTGGCTCTGGACCCCTGCTGGCATCCTCTTTCCTGAGTCATCTTCAGCCCTTCCTGCCACCTGACCCCAAAGCCAGATCACACACCCCAACACAGCCTGACAGTGCCCCTCTGCTCTTGAGCAGAGCCATGAGTCCCACGCTTGTCCTATAGTCCGAGGCAGTCTCTGTACTGCCCCCAAAGACCAGACCACGTGGACAGCATTTGTGATGAGCTCCCAGCTCCTGGCCCAGAGCAGGCTTTCTGCATGGCTTTGGTGGGGGCACATGTCCCCAGGGCTTCCCTAGGACTCCCTGCCCCACCCCACCCCTGCAAGAGGAGCTAGGCAGCGGGGCCCACCCACCCCTGAGTGGAAGCGCTGAGGGCTTAACCCCACTCTCAGGGCATTCTAGGTCTTGTGTGCCCAAGCTTTGCCCTGCGGCTTCTAGCATTTGATCTGGCTGTGAAATTGCATCCCACCCTGCACCTTGGCTGCTGTTTTCTGAGCGGGATCAGCTTCCTAGGAGCTCTGGCACTGCCTCCCTGGGGAGAGACCCTGAGCCCAGGCTATAAACTCATGTTTATCCCGCAGAGCCGAGGGAGCCCTCCCAGGAAACGCTGTGCCCAGGCCAACAGGGCTGACTTGGGCCTTGGAACGTGCAGGACTGGTACCCGGCCATTGCCTTTCAGAACACTCACAGGCTGTCCCACTGGCACTTCACATAGCCTTCCTGGCACCCACCCACCGTCCACTGAGACCCCACTTTGCTGGCACAGGTCTTGTCCTGTAGTCCTGTGACTCCCAGAGCAGCCCTGGCCAATGGGGAGGGCATGTGCCTGGATATCCCCTCTGTGGCCTGATGACAGATGAGAGGATGGGCTTCGGGGCCCAGATGCGACCCCAGCCACCAGAACATCACATGCACATTGGCAGCCCTGGCCCCCACTGGGCTTAGAGCAAAGGCATGAGGTCCTGGTCTCCCCCACACACACACTAGGTGGTTCTTTGCAGATTGTGGTTCTTAACATAAGAAAGAATGATTTCAAGTAGTGTGCATACGTCACCTTCGTCCCAGAAGGAGACACAGTGGCTCCCAGGGACACAGCGTATCCAGCTCAAAGAAACTGCAGATTAAAACAGGAGGCCACGGAGCGGTGCGCACACGGGTCCGTGCACAGGTGTGTGCACAGGTGTGTGCACGTGTGGGCTGCTTTGTTAGTGCTTTACACCTGCCTGCTTCGGGTGTGTTCTCTTCTCCTGCCTGCACCTGTGCGTGCACACACACCTACGAGCGCACGCACACAGACACGCCCAGACACACGCCTCTCTTCTGGTTGTGTTATAACCATGATGAACCTCTGCAGCAGGGGCCCGAGCCTGGCCGCAGCCTACAGGCCGCTCGGATCTGACCTTCATGCCTACAGTGGGTAGGGGCTGGGGCTGGGGACGGCGCCCTGGGTCCTCTGCCTGCCATGCACAGCGGATTATGACTCAGCAGCATTCCAAACGCTCCAAGATTAAATGTCCGAGAGGCCCTATTGCCCTTCCCTCCCACACAATGGTTCCTATTGATGAGCCCAGATAATACCAGCTGGCTAAACAATTGCGGGCCCTGCCGCCCCACCCAGGTCGCTTACACAGCGGTTCAGCTTTTTCCCAGCCCCCAGGCCGCGTGCTCTTTGGCTTGTTCTAAGTCTTAAATGAGAGCTCTGGTGGCGTAGTGCCTAAGGCACTTGACTGCTCACCAGAAGGCTAGCAGTTCAAACCCACCAGCCATTCCTTGGAAGGAAGGTTGGGCAATCTACTTCCATAGTGATACCGCCTCAGAAACCCAAGGAGGGGTGGCTGTGAGTCGGATCCAACTCGAGGGCACATAACAGCAACAACAACAACAACAGCAACAACAACAACAGCAACAACAATCTTAAATGACTTTGCCCCATGCTTGCTCTGCTCTGCCATTTCCCGCTCCGGCTCCTGGTTCCGGCTCCAGGCCGCCGAGCTCCCCAGGCACGGGGCCCCCCACCCCGTGGGGGAGGTGAGCAGTCCCCAAGAGGGCAGAGCTGCCCCCATTCCCAGAGGCCCCGTGCTATGGCCTCTTAACATCCAGGGACGGTTGCCCAGCGTGCCTAGTGTCCCCGAGACCTCACAGGGCTTGGAGCACCCTGGAACTCTGTGGAGAAACCCCAGGAGGAGCCAGCCAGGGAGCCCTGCCTGACAGTGCTCTGTCCTCAACCACCTAGGCTGTGTCCTCGGACGAAGGGAGGCCCCTCCTCAGGGCTTCAGTGTTGGTGTTAGACGCCCTTGCGTCGATTTTTCAGCCTCTTGTGACAGGAGAACTGCCCATAGGGTTGTCTGGACTGTGGCCTTTACAGGAACGGATCACCAGATCTTTCAGCCACGGAGCTGCTGAGTGGGCTCAAAGCACTAACGTTTCCGTGGGCAGCCGAGCACTTCATTGTTGCCCCGCCAGGGCTCCTGGGGCCAAATTGCTCTCCAAAAGGCTGGTGTCCTTTTCTGGTTACCCCTGGGTTGTGAGATTACCATTCCAGGGCTCTGAGGCGCCACCCCTTCTCTCCCTCTGCTTCCTGCTGACCCCATCACCTGGCCCCCTCACTGGCCCACCCAGCTAACTCCCCCACCGGCACCTGCATCTTGACCATGCTGCCCAGCTGTGCCCATTAGCCAGAAGGTGCCCTTCTGTGAAGTTGCCATCTCTCCTGGCACCTTGCCCTGGGAGCCCCTCAGTGCCTGGGAGTTCTTCTGGTGCCCTGCCCTGGGGGTCCCTCAATGCCTCGAGCTCAGGCTCCCAGGCAGCCGATACTTCCCTCTTCCCCTCCCCCACGGCCCCCCTCCCATCCTAGGATCGTGTGGTGAGGACATTTCAGGTAAGCCAGGGCTAAGCCCCACCATTCCCACTGCCAGTGGTGGCTGCCATTGTTCACAGGGACAGTGTTCCCGGGTTCCTGTCAAAGGTTCCCCTAAAACATCAAAGGCTTGACCTCCCCCTTTCCTTTTTGTCCTGTATCAGAGGCTTCTCAACTGAAGTCTGGGTCATTTTTATGTCACTCTTTTCCTAAATTTAAATTTGGAAATTTTCAGATGTTGTAAGTTTTATTTTTTCTCTAATTAACATTCTCAATGTAAAAAAAGAAAAAAAATCATATAGAAATAAGGAATGAATCGAGTGAAGTATGTCGCAACATCCTCCCAGGTCCCCCTCCCCAGAGCTGTAGCTCTCGTCAGCGGGACTGAATGTTCACAACCAGTGTGTCGACAGTGTCCCTTGTCTCACAAATGAACAAACTCAGCTCCCAGTACAAGAAGGGACTCAGGCACTCAGTGACCAGGAGAAAGTGGGGAGCTAGGCCTGGAACCCCAGACCCATGAGGCTCTGCACACCCGCACACCCACACCTGACCCCCAGCGCAGTATCCCCAGAGTCCTCCAGGAGTCCCTCAGCAGGGAGCATCCTGCAGCCTGTCAGCATGACCTGTCCTGTCTGGGACCCTCACTCCCCAAGTTCACAGTGTCTGTGTGCGTCAGCTGTGGACAGCCTTGTCCACAGACTCGGGAGGGAAGGAGGGATGTGTCGTTTATGGAGCTGAGCTGGTTCTTGTGTTAGCTCATTCGGTGTGACAAGGACACATGAGGGAGGGCCTTTGCCTCTGGGCTGCAGACTAGGCCGCTGCATCTTCAGAGTCCTGGCCGGGACAGTGGGCACAGAGAAACTGAGGCAGGCGAAGGACTGGGCGTAAGCACAGCTCAGCTCTGGGGGCGTGAGGTAGCAGAGCCGACCCCACCTCCAACACCACTGGTAGGGAGTGGCTCCAGGACTCCACCACCCAGTCTCTGCTTATCAGGGGTGGTGACCCACAGGCCGGCTGGTCGTAAGATCCCACCAGGTTCAAATCGTGGCCTTGCTCCCTGCTTGTCTTGTGTGCAGCCTTGGCAACGTTCTGGACTTTGGACCCCTCATGTGCAAAATGGGCATCGTGATCCCAACCTCGAGGGCTTGTGTGGGAGTTAAATGCCACTTCTCAGGGAAGTGTCGCCTGGGTACCCTGTCTAAAACGAGTTCCCTCTTGCTCCTGACATAAATGACCTCCAGTTTAGTGGCTTAAGAACCTTTATTACCTTTCAGGTTCGAAGTCTGACAGGCTCACTGGTCTAAGAGCAAGGTGTCTAAGGGCAGGGCTGTGTCCCTCCCGACGGGGAGAACCTTGGCTTGTCTTTTGCAGGTTCTCCTGGCCGCCCGCATTCCTTGTGGCCCCTCCTCTACCTTCAGAGCGAGCAGGTTGCGTCTCTCCCTGCCCTTCTCCTGTGGTCACACTCCCTCTGACTTCCTCTCCTGCACCGCCCCCTTTCTACTTTTAAAGACCCTTGGAATTACAATGGGCCCACCGGATAACCCAGGAACATCTCCCTGTTTTAAAGTCAGCTGCCCAGCAGCCTTAATTCCGTCCACAACCTCGATCCGCCCTTGCCATGTCTGTTAGTGTCCTGAGGCTGCCGTGACCAGTGACCACATTGGTGGCTGGGTGGCTTAAGCACAATGGTTTCTTCTCATGGTTCTGGAGGCTAGAAGTCTGAAGTTGAGGGGTGGCCAGGGCCGTGCCCTCCAGAGGCTCAAGGTGAGAGCCCTCCGTTGCCTCTTCTGCCTTCTGGTGGTCCCTGGCGGTCCTTGGCCTTAGTTTGTTGCGCATTGACTCCGCCTCCATTGTCATGTGTCAGGGTCCAAATCACCCTCTCTCTGTAAGGACACCAGCATGAGAGGCAGGCCCACCCTGGCCCAGACCAAGCTTATTTCCACATGATTACAGTGCAGATAGCGTCACAGTCAAAGGTCCCAGGTAGACATGGGATCAGGAGGACCGTCGGGTCTAGTACATCCTCAGAAGTCTGGGGGATTGGGGTGAGGCATTCTTGGGGACCATTATTCTTCCCCGGCCACCCTCTGCAAAGATCTCATCTTCTCCCAAACCCCTGTCTCTTCCCTGCTTTGTCTTCTTGCCCTCCATCTCTCAAGCTCTGGTTGTTGTTGCTGTTATGTGCTGTCGAGTCAGACCTGACTCATAGCGACCTCTCCTTGGGTTTCCCAGGCAGTATCACTGTGGAAGTAGATTGCCCAACCTTCCTTCCGAGGAGTGGCTGGTGGGTTTGAACCGCCAGCCGTCTGGTTAGCAGTCAAGTGCCTTAGGCACTATGCTACCAGAGCTCCTAGGAGCTCCAGGAGGCAGGGATTTTTGCTGCCGGCTCCTTGCCTGGGAGGAGCTCTGGTGGCCTAGTGGGTAAGGCATTTGGCTGCTAACCAGCATGGTTCAAACCCACCAGCTGCTCCACGGGAGGAAGATGAGGCAATCTACTTCTGTAAGGATTTACAGCCTTGGAAAGCCAAGGGGGGTCGCTATAAGTCAGATTGACTCGGAGGCAGTGGATTTTCCTTGACTAGGACCGTGCCTGTCTGGCATCTACTAGTGGCCAGGATGAGGGCATCTCCTTCTTTGCCTGAGGTGACTCCTAACCTGTTCGTAGCTGTGACATAATTGCACATTGTGTTCTAGGGAGTTTACGTCAGCCTTCGCCCGCCAGCCTCGGCCCTCTCACACCCCAGAGACCCTGGACCTGAACCCTCCCAAGGTGAAGGCCTCGGCTCCAACCCCTCGCTTCTCCTGGTGCGGCCCCCAGCAGGCCAGTCGCCCCGGCTCCACCGCCCTCTCCACCCGAGGCCTGCAGGGTAAGTCGGCAGTCACGGCAGTGGGCCTTTGCTTCCCCATTCAAACCCAGGAGCCCCTCTGTGTGTCCACCAGGTGGGCAGGAAGAGGCCTGGTCCCTTCTCCAGAGACCATGGCCCTAGTGGCCATTCATTCATCTTCCCAGCTTACTAAGTAGCCAGTGGCCTCCACTTATACAGGAGCTGACAGTGAGACCCTGCAACAGTCCACTCAGATACAACACTACCACACACACACACACACACACTCGCACGCGCGCACACACACATACACACCCCAACTGTCAGGGCTGCGACTCTGCCAGGCAGAGTCCCATCACAGGCCCCATCCACTGTGATCAGCCCTGCCACCTGGCCCCAACCCTAATAGACACATGCCGACCCTTGAAGGTGGGCTCCCTCTTGCTCTGTCTCCTCCCAGCCTCAGCCAGTAGTGCGCCGCGCCCCACTCCCCAACTGAGCCTGGCCCTTTCTAAAGGGCTGTGCTAAAAATAAGAGAAAACCACAGGGAAGCCGGACAAAGGAACGGCAGGCAGAACACAGCCAGTCACACTCAGGATATTCGCACTTCTGTGATGCCCCTGCTGTCCGCAGCCTCCCTGCCCCCTCCCTTCCTGACATGACCCTGGACCCATGGCCAGCTGGGGACCCGCTGGGTGGAAGTGTGGCCCCCCAGTGCAGCCCTGTTTCCCACCCCGCAGCTCCGGGCAAGCTGCTTCCTCACACGGGCCCACAGGAAGTACCGGCAAGCACAGCGGCAGTTTGGCCAGGAGACAAGCAGACAGGCAGATCCTCGGCCAGTCCAGGCTGCCCGGGGTCAGGGGGCTTCTGCTAAGGATAATAGAACGCCCCAGGAGCCGGGGGCTGGCCGGCCACTTGGCCAGAGCACAGTACGGTCCAGGCTGCCAGGGTCACTGCACAGAGAGCGGGGGGTTTATGTGTCCTGGGGATTCCACAAACACCTGAGCATCTGCCAGCAAAGTTCAGCAAGCCACCCACCCCAAGCAGCCTGCTTCCGGGGAGGAAGGGCCTGGCACGGTGCAGGTGACCTGGGGCAGGGGGGTCCCTCTATCCGGTTAGCACATGAGCAGGGTGAAAGAAGGGACTGTGTGGGACAGAGGGGCTCTGTACAAGGCCGTGTGGAGCTGGCATCTCTTTGACTTTTCTTCTCCAGGCAGCCAGTCCCTCAGGAAGTAAAGAGAGCTTCTTTCTGCGGGTGTCACCAGCACGTCGCCTGAGGACCAGCCAGCTTCCCTCGGCAGCAGAAGCTGCAGGTGGCAGCTGTGAAGGGACACCGTTGTGCGGGGACCAGGCGAGGGGGGAGGGCGCGGAGCAGGGCAGCTCTCCAGGCAGCCCCAAAGCCAGGCCACCAGTACCCCCAGCACTCAGCCCCATTTTCTCCTTGGGCTGGGCACAGCCACAGGAGGACTGAGGAGACACTTCAGCTGCCCTTCCTTGGCCAGGGTGGTGGTAGACCCAGGGAGTTTCCTTACCACCCTTCACACACACAGAAGAGGAGAGGGGTGGTTCCACCACCCTGGGCCTCACCAGCATCTAACCGGATGCGAGACCAAACCAGCGAGCCCCTGTGCATCTCTTATGAGGAGGGCTAGGGCCACACCAGCAAGCCTGAGCCAGTATCCGTCTCAGGCGCCTGGGAGCTAGTTCCTCAGCCAGAGAGTGGACCTCTCTGAGACTGCTGACCAGGGCAGCCTCCATGGAAACCAGCCCTTCTCTCCAAGCCGACTAGGAGGAAACAAGGCATCTAGAATAAGAGAAACTCAGGAACAGCCCATTTTGTATTTTCTTTCTCTTTTAAAATCAGGTAAATATGTGAGGCCAGGTCTCTTCAAAGCAGCCTAAGTGTCTTAAAAGCCTCAGGAGGTCCACCAGTGAAAGCCCTGTTGCCTCAATAAAGACCATGAATGTAAATAGTACCCTGGTCTAATGCCCCTGGGGGAGACCAGATAAAGCCCTGCTGAGGCTGATAGAGTCCCTGTCATAAACCAAGAGGAAGGGCATTCACCTTCAGAGCCAATAGGCAAAGGAATGCTGAACATTCCCAAGCTGCTTGTAGCAGGGTCTGATCCTCTCTTGAAACTGAAATAAAACTCATCTTTATTTAGATGTACTTTATCTGTGAGTGTGTGGGTGGGTGTGTAAAGGAGAAACGGAAACCAGGTTAAAGGTAAGTGCTGTCCCCCAACCCTTGGTCTGCCCTGTGGTGGGACATCAGTTCTTCACGTGGGGACATGTGAAGAGTACGCGTCACACTTTCCAGAGGCCTTCAGACTCTTCCGGAGATCAGGCAGAGGAGGGAAATGGAAGAGCGTTTCAGAGGCCTCGTGGCCCCACGAGAAGCTGAGGATCGAAAGCTCGTCGAGGGCTGGGATGCTGGGTGAACCTCGTGAGTTCTCGGTGGTACAACTCTCGTGCATAAGTGGCCTGGTGACCACAGCAGCAGCCCCGGTAGCCACGCCTTCATTTTCTGGAAGTCTGTGAGCCCCTCTGTTGTTGGGAAAGAATGCTGTGGAGAACATGGTCCATACCCTACTGGACCTGTCACCTCCAGCGCCTTCTGGACTCCTGGCTTGACTTCAAAGGCACAAAACGAAAACATGAGTGCTCGTCCATCTGGGGGTCTCCAGGACTCTTGATGTGGACAGACAGGAATCGCAGAGACTGGATCCTTGAAATGGAATCACCTCAGGGTCAACCTTTGGGAAGCTGTAGGCTGATTGCAGAGAAGTGTGGTGGAAAGCTCTCTCCCGTTCTCCCCCCAGTAAAGGCACTTTCCCTCAGATTCCTCAGATGCCGAGGGCTTGCTCAGCCCTCCCCCGCTTGGCTGGGCAGCAGCCCCGTCTCCAGTCTCCAGAGATCCAGTCGTGGTGGTAGAAGCACCCAGGTTCAACCCAGAGTCTCCCCCATATGCAGGTAACTGCTGTTTCTTCCTGGAGGCCTCTGAATGAACTAAAGTCTGATTTTTACATTTCCTTTGAGGAAAAGAAAAGGTAGTCTTTAGATGAGTGTCCACCAGGGTCAAAATACACACTGCTATTTTAGGCGTTGTCCGTGTGGATCTTCAGGAGAGTGACTACCCCGCCCCTGCACCACGCCCTGGGAGAGCCCTCTCCAAGCTCACGCTCTTCATTCCAGTGCTGAGGGAGAGATACCTCCTCTAAGACACATTCCAGCCCTCTACTGGCTGCGGCAAGGGAACCAAGGCTGTATGTGAAACATCCATAACTAGCAACGTCATTGAACTGTACACGTGAAGAATGTGGGTGACTATTTGTTACATATATATTTACCACAGTTTTTGAAAAATCTCTTTAAAAAAACATCAGATACACAAAGAAACCAAAGCATTTTAGACATCTAATCAGATGGTTTGTGAGATGTGCCCATGGACCCTACCAATAGCCACCAACCAAGTCTGGAATTTCTGAAAGATGGCAGGCCTCTGGGACAGTTGTGACTCCTTCTGCCTCTAGAAGCTGACCCCAACCCCTGGTTACTGCATGCCCCACAATCTCTTCTGAGAAATATTTGTCCTCATGGCTTCCTTCACCACAGAGCGTAAGCGTCTGGCAACAGCTTGGATCCTGAGGCTTGACAAGGAGCATAATGCTGCAAAGGAATTTTCCATAACTGAAAAAGTTCAATATACAAACAAACAAGATTAATACCAAAAAAAAAAAAAAATGGTAACCAAAATATCAAACTTGTTGATAAAGATAAAACCTGACCCTGTTTGCTAATCCTAATCCCAGCCCTTGATTCCAGTAAAACTTTATTTACAAAACAGGTGGCTGACCCACAGGCCACAGACTGCCAACTTGAGGTTTTTTGTTTGTTTGTTTGTTTTGTTTTGTTTTTTAATTTTGCAGTTAATCCTGTTTCCTTTCATTGCTGAGGTTTGGGGTGCCCCTTACATTTGTACACAGAGCAGATTCCCCCTTCACTCACCCTGGTCCTGCTCTGATGGAGAAGGACTTTGGGGCCTTCTTCCTGGCCCTCCTGTGTGCCACATAGCACAGCCTTGTGGTACAGGCTTTGCCTGATCACCTTTCTCCCGCAGACGCTGTTTGTGGTGAGTTGTGCTAAGGAGTGTATCATTTAGCTCTGATAAATAACAAATGAACCCCCACACTTAGTGGCTTCAAACACAGTTTATCAGCTTACAATTATACAGATCAGCAATGGAGACTGGGCTCAGCTGTGGGCCTCTTCCACTGGGCTTGGCTAAGCTAAGCTGTGCATCCGTGATCAGAGGACCAGTGAAGGCCTCACTCACATGGCTGTTGGTTGCGGCCTTTGCCTCTCCTCCATGAGGCCCCTCATCCTCCAGCAAGCCAGCTTGGGCTCATTCTCTTGGTGGTCTCAGGATTCCAGTTGTAATAAGAGAGACAAGCCCCAGTGCACAAGTGCTTTTCAAGTCTCTTGCCTCATGTTTGCTCTTGTCACACATTGACCAAAGCAAGTCACATGGCCAAGACCACAGTCTGTAAGGAAGGGCGCTACCCAGTGATGTGGGTACAAAGAACCTGAACAAACTGGGGCATTTCTGCAACAATCTAACACATGGAAAGTTGGCAGGGCTTACTTCTTTGAACTAGATCTTTCAAGGATGGTTCCACTGCAGAATAACTTCCCATTATAATTCAATTGAGCAAATATTTCCCGGGGGGCTGCTCTGTGTTGGGATGTGGAAACACAGTCCCCCTGGCCCTCAAGTGGTTACCCATCTTCTACGGAGAATTCCTGGCCTTTGAGGATGGCTGCAATACAGGCCAGAGCATCAGCCCCAGATGGAAGGGATGGGCTGGTTTCCAGGAGGTGGTTGTACAACTGGGAGGAAAGTTCTAGAGAGATCCATTCAGAGTCGTTTCCATAAATCTCCGTTGATACCTGGCAGAGGATGAAGGGGACTGGAGGAATAAGAAGTTGAGAGATGGGGGTGGAGACTAAGAGAGGCTGGTGTGGGAGAGAGTCTCCAGCGA